CTCTAGCCAATGAGGTTAAATAAGTTTGGCCACAGCATACAAAAGTCCCAGAAGGGCAGGATGGGAAATGGGAGGAAGAAAAGAACTGATGTACGTGGCAACCCAGGACATCTTCTACAAAGAAGCTGACACTTCAGAAAAGACACACAGTAATCCACCCATGGGGAAGTCTCTAGGGAAGCCCCACAATGCCACCATAATCATCCCAAGCCCCAGAGACTGACAGGGTCTGAGTCATATTCCCGAGGCAAGTGAAAAGATGGCAAGAGCTCCACAGTAGCAGTCAGCTCTTTTAACTACTGGTGAGGAAACTCTGCCCCTCCTCTTCTTTCTCCTCCTCCATAAATCTCCTGCTGTACTGGCTGTCCCTATGTGCCCACAATGGTAGCAGAAATTTGGCTCAGCTGCTCATAACTCTGGGCTGCTCCATATAAATGCTGCCAGCCTTACAGTCCCCCTGCTGCCTCTGTACTGAGTACTAACAGATGGGCTGGAATTTACTAGGGATAAACATAAGTCCTCTACTTGGTTAAAAAAAAAATCAACAGCACAATTACAGAACGGGAGAGACTTGACTTAACAGCAGTTCTGAAAGGGACCTGGAGGTAATCACCTGGACTGGGAAGGTCGAACAATGAAGAATGCATTGAATTTAGAATCAGAGAGACCTCAGTTCAAATTTGACTTCTGCCTACTTACTGGCTCCTTGACTTTGGGGAAATTGCTTAACTTCTCCAGGTCCTCATTTTCCTCATCTGTAAAATGGGGAGTTTGAACTATATTCCCCTAAGGTTCTTTCTAGCCCTAAACCTGTGATCTTAAGTGCTATGTGAGTCACTATTAAGATGTTACTGCCAAAAAAAAAAAGCTAAGGTTATTTTAGGTTGCACTTACAGCAAAAAGCATACAGAACAAGGGTGGTGATAGACCTTGCCATAATCTGCTCTGAACACAGCTGGGGGAACTGTGTTTAGATGTGGCCACCATATTTTAAGAAGGGCATTGACCCCTTAGAGGGAGCAGAATGGTCAGGCCATTCAAAACCACATCAAAATCCACACAATGATGTAGTTTAATAAATGTTTTAGCCTTAGGAGAGACAGAATGGCAGTGGATTGAAAACCAGCCTCATAGCCAAGAAGAACTAGGTTCCAGTCTAGCTCCCCGGCTATGTGACCATGGGCAAGTGAATGAATCTCTCAATACTCTTTCTCTCTAAGTTAAAGAGAAGGTACTGACATTCACTGGAAAAGGGAGCTCACCCAGGCGTAAGTCCCTATCTCTGTGTTTTTTTTTCTTTTTTGCCTAGAGAAGACTTCAACGGGGTATGTTTCCTGCTTTAAATATCTGAAGGCCAATCATATGGAAGAGGAGGTAGATTGATTTTATTTTGTTGCAGGAAACAAAACTAGGAAGAATGAGTGGAAGTTAGACGGAGGTAGAGTTTGGCTCTCTGTGAGGAAAGACTCAAAAATAATTTGAACTATCCAAAAGGAAAATGGATTGTCTTGGTAAGCAGTAAATTCACTTTCACTGGAGATCTCCAAGGTGGGGCTGGATAGCAGCTTTAGGGAGAGGTATAAGGGGAGTCTCATGTTTGAAGTGTATGACGAACCTCTAAGGTCCTTTCCAGCTCAGAAGAATATCAGTGTTGGAAGTTAATTCAAATATCATCTAACAATCTCTGGCAAATCATGAATATAATTCAATGATCTCATCCACTCCCCTGGCTTCTACTTTCACTTCTTTATAGGTAACTCTTAACCCTGACACATTTCTGACTGCTCACTGTACACAGTTTCTGTCCACTGCTCAGCACTTCTCACTCACCACATCTGGAGCAAAATTCATCCTTCCCTTCTCCAAACTAGACGCTTTTCATAATTTATCCATTTCTTTTAGTGGTGCCACCATTTTATCAATGACCCAAGCTTGACACCATATTTTGGCTTCTCCCTTTCGCTCACCTCTTCATTCCTATCAGTTCTTCCTCTCAATTTATCTTCTATGTCTACATACAATGTCAGACCTAATTGATCTCCCTGTCTCTATTCTCTCCTAACCCCCAAATTATTCTTCAGAATACCACGAGATTAAGAAGCAGTATAGCTTAGCAGATAGAGTTTGTAACTTCGAATATGGAACACTTGGATTCAAAACCGATATCTGGGGGCAGCTAGGTGGCGCAGTGGCTACAGCACTGGCCCTGGATTTAGGAGGACCTGAGTTCAAATGCGACCTCAGACACATAATACTTACTAGCTGTGTGACCCTGGGCAAGTCACTTAACCCCAGTGCCTAGCCAAAAACAAAACAAAAATGAAACCTATGTCTAACTTTCATGTGACCATGGAGAAGTCACTTAAGCACTCTGAGCTTCAGTTTTTCCATTTATAAAATGGGGATAAGAATATTTGTAAGTACCTATTCTCATTGGACTATTGCCAGGCTTAATGAGATTGGTTATATAAAGCACTTTATTGAATCTAAAATACTTTGCAAGTGTCAGTTATTATTATTTTCCATGAACATCTCTTGTCCAGATACCCTCATGAACCATGCCCAAATTCCTCAGCTTGATATTCCAGGCCCTTCCCAATCAGGCTTCAGTCCATTTTTCCAGCCTCTTTTCTCATTTTTTCTTCTTACGTATAATCTATTCACCGGCCAAGCTACAATATTTGCTATGTATACTGAAAGAAAGTTCTCATTTCCTTAGCTTCAAGTATCTGAAGAGTTGCCTACATCCATGATTCCTTCCATTTTCCTATATTAGAAACTAAATATCCAAAAGGAATATGGATTGTCTTGGTAAGCAGTAAATTCACTTTCACTGGAGATCTCCAAGGCAGGGCTGGATGATGGCTTTAGGGAGAGGTATAAGGGGAGTCTCATGTTTGAATGCATGATGAACCTCTGAGGTCTCTATTCTATAGGCGACACAGTGGATAGAGTGCCAGGCGTGGAGTCGGGAAGACCCAAATTAAAATCTGACCTTAGACATTTACTAGCTATGTGACCCTGGGTAAGTTACTTAACCTCTGTTTGCCTCAGTTTCCTCATTTGTAAAATGAGGATAATAATAGTACCAACCTCCCAGAGTTGTTAGGAGGGTCATATGAGATGATAATTTTAAAGTATTTAGCACAGTGCCTGGCACACAGTAAGTGCTCTATAAATGTATATATATTATTTACTAAATACCTGATCAGATATGCTGCCAAGGTGACTCCTCTTTATATCAAATTCTGACTCTGTAATGAATTCCATGGTATGAAGAATGAGGTTCTAGCTATCAGTGTATTTCAGTCTCTGATTACAAGGATTCTGGGATGGGCTTAGGTGTTGCCAAAAATGCACTTGTGAGTAATACGGAATCCTCACTGCCAGACCCTTTGGACCTCCAGCAGCTTATAATATGGCTGACTGCATGAGTCCCCCTTTAGGGACTAACACACATATACAATACATCAGAACACAAAGGCACACAGAAAAAAGAGCCACTCTGGTTACCAGACTCCCCTGAGCTGCCACACAAAGGCCTCACCTGGCTCCTCACCCTTCCTGTCAATAACAGTCAGCTCTGCTGGGTCAGGGTCAGCTTAAGGAACACCAGCCCAGGAACCTGGCCAGCTCCACTTTTATTAGATGCTAACTACAGGCAGCCTCAGAGAGGAAAAGATCAGCCAACCCAAATGCATACAGTTCAGTTGAACAGAGCATTTATTAAGCTTCGACTGTATGCAACAGAGCATGCTATGCCCTGGAGAGAGAATCTCTGTCCCTGAAAAACTTTCGTTCACAGGAGGAAGACAGTCCTAAAAATTAGGGAGATCAGAAAAATCTTTCTTTAAGTGGTACATGAGCTGCTCTTTGAAGGGAACTAAAGATTCCTAGAGTTGGAAGGGAAGAAAAAATATGCTCCAGGGAAAAGGCACGGCCCATGCCAAGGCATTTGAACTATCCAAAAGGTGGAAGATGAAATGCCAAGTCTGGGGAACAGCAAAGCCAGTTTCATTGCAATACAAGTACACATGCATTCACGTATACATGAAGAAGAGGTGTGCCGGCAAATGTTTCACAACCAGCTCCCCCCACACCTCTTTAAAAAGTACATATGACCCACTTTTAAGCTTAAACAGCATTGTTAACATTTTCTCCATCAATTTCTTAAGTCTAGACCAGAGGTGTCAACCGCACGCCATCTGGTGAACCAGATTAAAATGTGACTTGGAAATATTTAACAAAATAAATAAAAGCACAATGAAACGTAGATAACATTACATTTTAAAAGTAAGTCAACATGTGGGTGAACTGATTAGCGGCCCCCTTTTCTACTCGAGTTTGACACTACTTGCCTAGACAATCAACAAAACAATAAATCACACCCCAGTTGGTAGGGTTTGCCAATTTAAGCTCAAACTGAAAATTTAACAATTGGCTCTTAAGCTGGTGTAAGTCAGTTCCAGCACACTTCTGGAGTCATGTGAAATCAGCCTGGAAAGATAGGTGGGAGTCAGATTGCAAAGGGTTTTAAATGCCAAAGAGGAGAAAAGTTTGTTTCTTATCATGCAGGCAATAGGAATTCGCTAGTGCTATTTGAGCAGGGGAATGTCATGGATAAATCTGTGCTGTAGGAAGATTATCTGGTAGCTGTGTGGGGGAGGAATGGGAAAGGGGGTTTCAGGGTTCCAACATTTACTGCCTTCCTGATTTTGGTTACACTAGTGCATTATTTTTGTTGTATGTCTGTCTTAAAAGTTTAACACTAGGACCATTCTTATAAAGTGAAATGGATGTGGGAGGGTGGGGAGAGTGAAAAGGGAAAAGGGTAAATCATTATTGTTCTGTTGTTGTCTTTTTAAAAATTCTCTTAATGAGACACAAAAACCAGAGAGGAGCTGGAGTGGAAGTTGGGTGAGGAGGTGGAGTTAGAACCAACAACAGGAGAAAAACTATGACGCCCTCTCGAACAATGACAAAATACCAGACGGCATTACCTGTGTAGTCTCCTGCAAAACTTCCTGCTGCCTATAGATTCCATTTGCATCCCTTTTCCTATAGAAACATATATTTCCAAGGCTGACTTTGCACTGGAAGACAATCAGTGGCTCTGTTGTGCTTCAGGAAACAAAAGAGGGAAGGAGCAAATGGAAAAGCTGTTAGCAGTGGATACACCCTTGATTAGCACATGCATGGAAACATAACTTGGAAATAAATTCAGATTGAACAATGGGCATCGGTCCCCTGGGCATCTGTTGGCTAAAATCCTCCAGCAGGGAGGCAACATGGTATAGGAGATCAGAGGAGCAAATACTCAGAACTAGAAGGGACCTTAGAAGTCATCTCTTCCAATACATTTATTTTGTAAATGAAGACACTGAAGCCCAGCACAGTACAATGGATGACACAATTAAAACTTTAAAAGACCTTTGAGGTCATCTGGTCCAACCCCCTCTTTTTATACATGAAGATATTAAGGCAGAGAGATGTTGATTCATTGTATTACCTGGTAAGTGGCCAAGCTGGGATTTGAACCCAGGTCCTCTGACTACAAAATCAGGGTACTTTCAGCTTCACTAGCCACTTACTAGCTCTGTGATCTTGGATAAGTTTACTTGCCTCCCTCAACCTGTACTCTTTTTAACATGAGAGGGTTAGGGGCAGCTAGGTGACGCAGTGGATAGAGCTCAGGCCCTGGAGTTGGGAATACCAGAGTTCAAATGTGGCCTCAGACACTTACTAGCTGTGTGACCCTGGGCAAGTCACTTAATCCCAATTGCCTCCAAAAACAGAGAGAGAGAGAGAGACAGAGACAGAGACAGAGACAGAGACAGAGAGAGAGAGAGAGAGAGAGAGAGAGAGAGACAGAGACAGAGACAGAGAGACAGAGATAGAGACAAAGAGTTAAATTAAGATAATCTCTAAGGTCCCTGCCAGCTAAAAGTCTACAATTCAAAAAGGGTCATGACTCCTGGAATAGTACTACCTTAAACTCAGAGAGAGCTAGGTGGCTCAGTGGATAGAGTTCTGGGCCTGAAGTTAGGAAAAACTGAGTTAAAATATGACCTCGGATACTTACTAGCTGTGTGACCCTGGGCAAGTCACTTAACTTCTATTGGCTTTAGAGATAGCTAGGTGGCTCAGCAGACAAAGTGCTGGGCCTGGAGTCAGGAAGACCTGAGTGCAAATCTTTCTTTAGACACTTACTAGCTGTGTGACCCTGGGCAAGTCACTTGACCCCGTTTGCCTCAGTTTCTTCATCTGTAAAATGAACTCACTCTAGTATCTTTGCATCGGTGTGGCATGGTGCACGGGGTCATGAAGAGTCAGACACAGCTGAACAACAATGACACCCTAAACTAACCCTCATGACTCAGATGGCTACAGCCCTGCATCTTAAACCCAATCCACAATATAGCAAAGATGAATTCTAGTATATTCTGAAGGGCAAAGAGTTTTTGTTTTTTAAAGTCCAACATCTTAGAATAAGTTGCATGGAAAGAGTCAATCTTAAGGCCTAAAAAAGAGACAAAGAAACAAGAAGAAAATGGGGAGAAGCAACAGGATGAGATTAGATTATAAATTCTAAAGAACTGTCATTGATAAAGGGTTTTAACTCTTTTCAAAGGGGAAGGGACAAGCAATTAAGTGGCTACTATGTGCCAGGCACTGTGCTAAGTGCTTTGCAAATATCTCGTTTGATCCTCTTGACAACCCTGTCAGGTAGGTGCCACTACAATGCCCATTTTACAGTTGAGGAAACTGAGGAAGAGAGAGGTTAAATAACGTGCCCAGGGTCACCCAGCTAGTAAGTGTGTGAGACCAGATTAGATCTCAGGTATTCCAGACTTCAGGCCTGCTACTTTTTGTTTCAAATTAAACTCTATTTAATGCTGCCTCTAAGAGGCGGTGAGATGGCACAGTGGATAGACCCTTGGACTTAAAATCAGGAAACCCTGAGTTCAAATCCTGCATCAGATAATTACTAGCCATATGACTTTGGGCAAGTCATTTAACTAGTTTCCTCTGTAAAGAACAAGGATAACAATTAAACCTACCTCTTGGCCTCTCATGAGAATAAAAGAAAATAATATTTATAAAGTGTTTTATAAACCTTAACATACTATACAAATGCCAATTATTATTATTAATAAAAATAATTTATTAAAATATTTACATAGCGCTATGTACCAGGCAGTGTGCTAAGTGCTCTACAATTTGTATTTGTTTATAATAACTTATTACTATTACTGAAACTCCTTTTGTCCAGTGACTGATACAACACCATTCCTTTTCCATTTTTTCCAGAAACCATAAAGACAGAAAACCTGCATTGCTGCCACACACTAGCCTGCAGAGAGACTATTTGGAAGCAGCAAGGCAACTATAAGCAGATCTTTGTAGTGAAAGCTATGGAAAATCCAATCCATCTGTGAAATTTGTTCAGAAACTTAGCAGTGGGACTATAATAAATGAGGATTCTTATTCTCTGGAGCTATGAGCCTGGCATATTTATCATCCCCAAACAGGCTGGCTACACCTGTCTAAAGATAATCCCTTTTCATATGTAGAGACAACCCTACACTCAAGTAAGGACAAATGAGAACAACTTTTCACAAGGACAACCTGTTCTCATGCTTGCTTTATGCATATGTTATCCACATCATTGAAAAAAGACAAGCTAAAACATTTTATTTAGCTTCTTTGTATGATCCTTAACTGCTTCCATTGATATCCCTTTTAAATTTCTTTCCCTGTCTTGCTTTCGAATCCATTCTGCTACTGTCCTCCGTTTTATAGGTGAGTTTATCCCATTCACACTCAAAGTTATGACTAATTGTGTTTTCTCCCTTTATTTTACCCTTTTGCAATTTTTCTTCCCTTTCTATGACCCCCTCTTTTCAAATAAAAAGAAGGTAGATAAAGAAAGTGAACGGAATCAACCCCAGCAATCTCTAACTTGAGAGGTCTGAAATCACTCTTTTGTACCTTCTCTCTTCACCCAGTCTAGACTCAGATTAGCAGCACATACATTTTGTTCCTGTCCTATTAATTCCACTTTTAGTGGGCACCCTAGACATAAGCTGTATATAAATAAGCTCTGAGAATTTTCCCCTGTACTCCAAGGTTAGGGTAATGAGCCAGAGAATGTAAAACAGAAAGCCTGATCTCCTCTCCTTGGGGCCTAACTCCCTAAAGACTGAGCCTGGCCCACCCTGTGCCACCACCATCACCCCTTTGTCACAGGGGTCACACAGATGAGGAATCTAAGGTTCAAGGGGTGAGGTGATTTGTTGAGGGTCACATAGGTAGTGTCTAAAGCCAAATTCAAACCAAAGTCTTCTGACTCTACATTATACTCTACATTCTCTTTCTAATGTGTAAAATTCCTAGGGCAGGTGTATAGGGTTGGGGGTGAGAGAAATGCTAGAATGCAGTGGGGACATTCTCTAACCCCTCAAAAGGACTATATTAGAATAATTATAATTTAAAAGACATTTTAAATGATAACACTTTGATAATTATAATCATATAACTAATTAATGGTTGGAATTGGGGAGGGGTATGTGCGCAAAATTCATCGGTCCGGAATTTTACCTGCTATTCCTCTCTACAAGGGAGGATAAATGGATAGAGAGCTAGACCTAAAGGCAGGAAGCTGTTCAGTCATTTCCGTCATGTCTGACTCTTCGTGACTCCATTTGGGGTTTTCTTGGCAAAGATCCTGGAGTGGTTTGCCCTTTCCTTTTCCAGCTCATTTTACAGATGAGGAAACTGAGGCAAATAGGGTTAAATGACTTGCCTAGGGTCACACAGGTAATGTCTGAGGCCAGATTTGAATTCAGGTCTTCTTGACTCCAGGCCCAGCACCTTATCCACTGTGCCACAGACCTGAGTTCAGATCTAGCCTCATATACTTACTAGCTATGTGACCTTAGACAGGAGCAGTATTCTCACTCTGAGGACATATACACCAATAGGGATAATCACTGACCCTGTAGCCATACTATTATTCAATCTGATGAGTATTTTATTTTTATTTTATTTTATTTTATTTGGCTAAGCAATGGGGTTAAGTGACTTGCCCAGGGTCAATAGCTAGTAAGTGTCAAGTGTCTGAGGCTGAATTTGAACTCAGGTCCTCCTGACTCCAGGGCCAGTGCTCTATCCACTGTGCCACCTAGCTGTTCCCCTGATGAGCATTTTGTCAAGCACCCACTATGTGTAGTATGCACATTTAGCAGACTACAAGCTCCATGACAGCATGAATTGTCTCACTTCTGTATCAACACTAGCACACTGCTTGGCTAGTAGCAGGCATTTAATAATGACTTGCTTGTTTGATTCATTATGCCAAACATTAAGGGAGATACAAAGTTGAGATGAAACACTATTCCCACCCTGGAGAAAAAGGATATAATGATTCTCATTTGCAAATGTGTTTTCTATATCACTTTCCTCATGAGAACCCTGTGATGTAGGTAATGCAAGGTGTTCTTATCTCTGTTTTACAGAGGAAGTGTCTAAAATTCAGAGACAACAATTCGCTTTCCCATTCGGCTAGTGAATGTCAGAGCAGGACTCAAATCTGGGTCTTACTACCCATGTATAACCTATATTGAATTGCTTGCCTTCTTGATGGCGGGGAGAAGGAGGGGAGAGAATTTGGCACTCAAAGTTTTAAAAACGAATGTTAAAATTGTTTTTACATGTAACTGGGGAAAAATAAAATAAAATACTAAATAAAAAATAGTTTATTTAAAAAAAACCCTGGTCTTAGATTTGGAGTACAGTGTTCCTTCCACCACGTCTCACCAATATCTACCCAACCTAATGAAAAGGAAGTAAATAGGGACAGGTCAGAGTAACAGGGGCAGCTAAGTGATGTAGTAGATAGAGTCAGGATGATGTGAGATCAAATCTAGCCTCAGATACTAGCTGTGTGACCCTGGGCAAGTCATTTAACCCAGTTTGCCTCAGTTTCCTCATCTATAAAAGGAACTGGAAAAGGAAATGGCAAACCCCTCCAGTATCTTTGCCAAGAAAACCCCAAATGGCATCACAAAGAGTCAGACATGACTGAAATGACTCAACAACAAACAGTAACAAGCCCAGTTTGCTACCATTCCTCCCAGCATATACATAAAGGCAAGCCTCCATTATCTGTCCAAATTAAGAAAGAATAAATGGATAGAAAGCTGGACTTAGAGTAAAGAAGACCAGGGTCCAAATCCAGCCTCTGACACTAGCATTGTGACCTTGGACAGGTCACTTAGCCTCTGTCTGCCTTAATTTCCTCATCTATAAAATGGAGGTAATAATAGCATCTACCTCCCATGGTTATTGCAAGTGTAAAATATTTATTAAATGTTTTGCGAAATTTTAAATGTTATATAAATGCCACTTTTTATTATTTTTATTTTTATTATATTTATATTATATATAATATGTCATATATATCATATATTTTATTATATTTATATTATCATTATTATTAATAAATAGAAACATAGGTAATCCTAAACCTTCATTTTGATCATTTTAAGTTCCTCCATCAAACCTTCTCAAAGCTATTAATTAACTAATACGATTTGAGCTCCTCTCCCTCTTTTTCATTTGAAATCTTCTAGCTCCTATGGAATTAGTAAGCAATAAAATGGATCAAAGGTAGGTATTCGCAGAAAGGAAGGGAATCACAGGACAATTCACAAACTGGAAATTAAGCCTTCCAGCAGCCAAAGCAGCCTGGTGTTGTCGAATGACTACAATTTAGAGCCAGAAGATATGAGTTCAAATCCTGACTCTGCTACTGGCTTAGATGTTTCACTTTGGGCAACTCATTCCATTCCTTTTTTTGGGCTTCATTTTCCCCATGTGTAAAATGAAGGGGTTAATTGCTATCATCTCCAAGGTTCCTCGTGCCCTATATCCCGTGTGCTCCATATAGAGAGAAGGGGAACAGTGTCTAGACAGACTCTGATAGTGTCAGGAAAGCAGGGCTTAGGAATATACAACCCTGAATTCAGAGAACTTCAGGAGCATATGGTAAAATTTCAATTTATGCAGAAACCAGCTGAAGAAGTTGAAATGTTAAGCAGCAGGGACTTGTTTCAGCTCCTCTACCAACATGGTAAACTTGGCAGGGGAGCTTCTATGCTAGAAAACAGAGTGATGGTGGTTCCCCCTCCTGACATTGGGATATCCTATGTAACAAATCTTTCTCTGTTGGTTGGGGAAGGGGAGGGACATAAGAGGAAAGGAGTGAAAAGGAACCCAAGGAAATGGACAGATTTCCCTTTAATTAGAATACTAAAAACCCAAGCAAGATAAATAGACACTATAGGGCCGAGGTTTAGATGAGTCTTTCAAGACAGACAACAAAGTAAGGCTTTCGATATCAGGCTGCTCTGAAGTCCCAAAGAAAGAGAGTCTGACCCCAAGATAGGATTTCAGGATGATTCAGAAAGAAGCATTCTAATTTAGCTTGGAGATAAAAACCAAGGTGAGTAATAATTAGCATTTTGGAAATAATGAGAGAAGCAATGAATCAGTGGTCAGAGGATACGAACAGAATGGTTTCAAAAGAAGAGACATGAATCATCAATGATTGCTGAAAATGCTAAACCTCACTAATAATGAAAGTTGTTGTTCTGGCCATGTCCGATTCTTTATGACCCCATTTGGGGTTTTCTTGGCAAAGATACTGGAGTGGTTTGCCATTTCCTTCTCCTGCTCATTTTGTTGATGAGGAAACTGAGGCAAACATGGTTCAGTGACTTGTCCAGAGTCACACTTCTAGTGTCTAAGGCCAGATTTGAACTGAGGGCAATTAGGTAGCGCAGTTGATAGAACACTGGGCCTGGAGTCAGGAAGAACTGAGTTCAAATTTGACCTCAGACACTTATTAGTTGTGTGACCCTGGGCAAGTCACTAAACCCTGTTTGCCTCAGTTCCTCATGCGTAAAATAAGCTGGAGAAGGAAATGAGAAATCACTCAAGTATCTTTGCCAAGAAAACCCAAAATGGGTTTATGAAGAGTGGGACACAACTAAAAAGTCTGAACAACAACAATACCAACAAAACAACCCAGCAGCTAAGTGTGAATAATTCCATCACTCTGATGACATTATAGGGTGTTTGCCACTGGATTCAGATAATTGGTGAACATGGGCAATTGCTAATGATTGGCTGAGAGTGTCAGTTAGGCCTTCCATGGCCTAGATAACAAGGAAGCTGGCCCTGCTCTAAAGTCTGCCCTGGGTTTGCTCTTCGCCTCTTCCTTTGTACTTTTTGGAGAGGACAGAAAGGGGAAGAGATTATTCCCTCCTTCCTCCCTCAATGGCAATGACATCTTGCAGTCCACGGCAGTGCCGAGTGGAACAGAGAGTCCAGTTGCAGCGTTAAGTAGCGGTCAGGGAGAAAAGAAGCAGGCTATGACCCTGCTTCTCAGGGAAAGGCGGGCGTCAGAGAAGAGACCCCTGAGGAGCAGAACCAATGAACTTTCTACCCCATGACACATATGAAGTTTCTCCCTCCCCACCTTGCCTGCTCCCCACAATCCCATTTTCCAGTTTTACAATTGTAATCAAATCAATAATCATCCATCATTCATTCATTCATTCATTCATTCATTCATTCTAGTATGAGAGGGTTGACTGGGCTACTGAGATGTTTAAGGACTTCCCCAAGGGTCACACAGCTAGTCCACACCAAATGGGATTTACATCCTGCATGGCTGCTTCTAAGATAGGTTTTCTCTCTAGTTCGCCAAGCTGCCTCTCATTATCCCTGTTTTCTGATGATAAAAATGGGGGTCATTGTCCATGTCGTACACCTATTTACACTTACTTGATTTCCAATGAAAACTTTACATTGGTAGGTGTGTGCTTGTTAATGGGAATATTGTAGTTGTAATTTCCAGACCTGGGTATGGAAAAGCAGAAAACAAAACCAAAAAATACATCAAAGCATGCAGAGATAGTTTCCAAAGATTCTTTATGACTAATGATATGCTGATTTTTAAAATGCTGGACCGAGTCCCACTATTTAATATCATCCATTGTTATATGTCCCAGAAATATGCCTGCTGGGTGTTTACAAATCATTTCCTTTAGTTCCAAAACAATGTATATCAGCAGAGTGAGTGGTGCATTATAACTCAGAGTTAAGATAATGGAAATTCAAATTTTAGCCCAAATAACAGGAAATTATTTCATTATCTCCCAAGGACTTAGAGATTCTCCCAGAGAAATGAAGTCAAGCCTTTAAGTGAACAATCCCACAAGAAAGAAGGACTAGAAATCATAGATGCCAGTTCTCACACCATAAATTCACACCCTCCTCCTGTTGAGAAACAGCAACAGGATACTTCCAGAATCTGTTTCCACTGAGATTAGCATACCCATGGCTCAGTATTGGAAAAAACGGAAAAATGGAGTTGCTTGCCAATATGTTTGGGAAGGGCCCCCATTCCTCCCTTCTTTTATGCCATTCCCTTTGACTAGTATAGGTAACATCTGCTTTGTAGACCAGGTTCAGTTTCACAGTGCTGGCCATCGAATACATTTCTCTAAAAGAAATTATATTGTCTCCCTGGATACCACCAAAGCGGAGGAAATTTTTCAAGAGAACAAGTGGAAAACTTTTGGCAAAGGGTAAAGTTTCAAACAGCACCTTGTCTTTTATTGGCCACCTCTTTAGCCTTATCAGTCTAACCTATTTCCAAGACTGTGGGACATAACAAATTAAATTATTCCTCTACTCCCAGCCATGCTACATCTTGGATAAAAATACATGTGGCCAAATGTCAGAGGCATCGAGGCAAATTTCAGAAGATGCCCAAGATAACCAAGACAGTTGGCAAGCCAAGAACTGTTCAGTCACTCCTTTTTATCTAGTACTGTTTCCTAGCTCTGAGATTTTCATTTCCCCTGTACCTAGAGATCCATTAACTTAGCTCACCCTTCCTACTTTTCCTTTTACCTTGGTGTTCACAATTTCTAGTGCAGTTACTTCTTATTCTACACTTTGCCAATTACTGTCATCATCTAACATGGCAACTCTCACAGTAATTCTCTCTTCAAGGACAAGAGAGCCTACATTTTGGGGTTAGGGCCCACTTGCCATATGGCATGTGTGTGTGTGTATATATATATATGTGTGTGTGTGTGTGTGTGTGTGTGTACATATATACACACACATATGTATGTAAACACATATGCATATGCAAACATATATATATATACATATAGATATACATATACATGCACAAGTATGTGGGACCTATGATTTCATTGGTATGGAGAACTCTCGGTGAAGAACTTTTCTCTACCAATGCAGATCATTACCTTCTCTGTGATTTACAGCCTTAGAAATATCTATGTTAATGATTAATCTTTACTCATTTAATAATATCTATATCAATAATTTTGCAAACACTTGATATATAAAATGATCACATTCATATAATTGTTATATTGTACATGTTGTTATATTTCTATAATTACATATAGTTTATTATTATATAGTTATTAATATATTAGAGTAATACTAGTTAAACTTCATAGTGTCTAGAAGGTATTTTGTTACATTTTGATAGCCTCTTGAAAATCATCATCAGTTTTCCAGGGTGACAAAACCTGGTTCATCTCAGTAAAATCAATGAGCACTGATTTAGCACCTACTACGTGCTTGGTACTGAACCAGGTGCTGGACATGCAAAAACAAAAATGAAACGATCCCTGCCCTCAAGAAGGTTAACTTCTGCTAAGGGAAAACAACATGTAAACAGATATTTATATACAAATATAAGGAAATTGCATACAAGTCATTTCAAGGGTTTGTTGTTACAACCAGGGAGACCAAGAAAGGCCTCCTGGAGGCAGTTGTATCTGAGCTGTGTTTTAAAGGAAGCTGGGGATTCTACATGAAGAGGGACGCCATTGCAGGTGTCGGGTGGCCTGTGTGTGAGGAGATAACAGGGAGAGGAGATGGTCAATGTGATAAATAGAAAATAGAGACATTCACTTGAAATGGCATGTGCATGATGAGAAGAATAAACTGACATCAGCTTAGAAAGATAGACTGGAATCAGATTGTGAATGGTTTCAAAAGACAGACAGAGGAATTTGCATTTGATTCTAGAAGTCGTAGGAAGCCACAGAAACTTCTTGAGTAAAGCGATAGGGCCTTTAAGAAATACCAGTTTGGTAACTGTTTAGAGAATGTATTTGGGAGGGGAGTATCCAAAGGTGTGGAAACCAATTAGGAGGAGGGAAGGGGAGGGAAGGGAGGGGAGGGGAGGGAGGGAGGGGAGGGGAGGGGAGGGGAGGGGAGGGGAAGAGAGGAAGAGAGGAAGAAGGAAGGAAAGAGAGAGAGAGAGAGAGAGAGAGAGAGAGAGAGAGAGAGAGAGAGAGAGAGAGAGAGAGAGAGAGAGAGAGAGAGAGAAGAAAGAGAAATGAAGGAAGGAAGGAAGGAAGGAAGGAAGGAAGGAAGGAAGGAAGGAAGGAAGGAAGAAGGAGGAGGAGAAGGAGGAGGGAGGAAGGAGGAAGGAAGGAAGAAGAAAGGAAGAAGAAAGAAAGAAAGAGGAGAGAGAGAGAAGAGAGAGGAGAAGAGAGAGAAAGAGAAAAAAGAAAGAAGAAAGAAAAAAAGAAAGAAAGAAAGAGAAGAAGAAGAAAGAAAAGAAAGAAAAGAAAGAAAGAAAGAAAGAAAGAAAGAAAGAAAGAAAGAAAGAAAGAAAGAAAGAAAGAAAGAGTTTGGCAAAGACATTTGGAATACGGCCCAAAAATTCCTTAAATTGGAAGCTAAACTTCACCAATTCTGAAGTTTTTACATTAAATTAAAGAGTTTCATCTGCTAAGAAGAACTATTTCCAAAAGCTTACATTGTAATAAAGGACATTTTAGCCAAAAGCACATTATGCCCAATGCATACTCTCTATATAGCCAGATAACACATTTCTATTGAGTATACTGAGTAAAATAATTGGAAACAAGATAGAGAAGGGTTCAAGTAAATATAGGACCTCACTGCCTCTTCAATAGAGAAACAGCTGAACCATCAGGGAAAAAGGTAAAGAGAAAAAAGTAATAGCAAGCTGAGAAAAAATCCGATTATACATAAATAATAATTTTAATAGCAATTGAAAAATGCACTTTCCTAAGTCTGCTACTTTGTGCCTTCAATTTCCTGATGCAGCTACTACCTATATCATCATTGGGATATCGGTAATATGGTATAAGTTGTAGGGAAAGATTTCGCTGATAAAAAAATTTTTTTTGCAGCTGCTAGATTTTTTTTTTCCCTCCCAACAGAAAAGCTAAAATAAGCTATTTCAGCTATTAAAATAATGATCTCCCTTGTTATTAAAATATTCCAATGCTAGCCCCCTCATAACTCTGAGCCATCACTAACAATGTCTTTGCTGTCTGTAAAATTAATTAGTAAACCTGCTGGGCAGAGACCACATTTTATTCTCAGTGCTTTGTTGCTTGCACTCAGATGGTCAAAGCAAACAACAGGCCTTTCAGAAATGCCTCTGGGCTGCAACACTTGAACTTCTTGTTAAACTTGGGGGGTGGGGCAGAAGGGAAGGGAGTGTTAGGGTAGCTAGGGCCATGGTTTATTGAGAATTTCTTATCTGATGCCCATCATTACATTCCAGGAAATGGGTTTGTAATTAAAAAGCAATATGAGCACAGACTGATTTTAATAAGCACCTCTCTTTCTTTTTTGCAAAAGTCATCAGCCCCTTTGCAAAATTAAAAAAAGGAAGTAGGGAAGGAAGGAAAGAGAAAATGAAGGAAGGAAATAAGAAAGGAAGGAAGGAAAGAAGAAAGGAAGGAAGGAAAGAAGAAATGGAAGGAAGGAGGGAAGGAAGGAAGGAAGGAAAGAAAGAAAGAAAAAGAAAGAAAGAAAGAAAGAAAGGAAGAAAGAAAGAAAGAAAGAAAGAAAGAAAGAAAGAAAGAAAGAAAGGAAGGAAGGAAGGAAGGAAGGAAGAGAAAGAAATGAGAGAAGGAAAGGAAGGAAGAGAAAGAAAGAAAAGAAAGAGATGAGGAAAGAAAGAAGTAAAGAAAAAGAAAGAAAAAAATAGCAATCATCAAAGAAAGAAAGAAAAAGTCATAGCACTGGACAAACTGAAGTTAGGAAATAGGATGAGAAGTAAAAGCTTACCCACCCACATGGGAGGCTTTTACTGCAATAACGGTGGTCAATTTTGTGCTGAATTTCCATAATCTGAATGGAACTGATGGTGGTATCAATCCCTAAAAACAAGGGGAAAAAATGAGAATACGAAGGAAGGCTTTTAGGAAGGAAAAGGTAGCTTGAATTCTACCCTCCTTCCACCCCCTACTCCATTCCCAGAGACACCAAATTGCAGATTTCCTTTCTCCATTAAAATAGTTAAGCAAAGGATCCCTTTGCCACAGTAGGTACAAGGACTATACTCAAAAATCCAGGACTTAATAATCATCCTCTTTTTTTATGTATCACTGGTGATTTTCTTGATGAGGGAAACCCCTTCCATCAATGCAAACCAGCAACGCTTCTTAGAATAGGAATTCATAATCAGCGATCTGTGAACTTTTTAAAAATCAATATACCAATAACCATATTTCAATATAATTGGTTTCCTTTGAAATCCTATGTATTCTGTGCATGTTAAAGCATTCTTAGGAGAGTTTCACAGACTTCCCCAGACTGCCAAAGAGGTCCATGCCACAAAAATGGTTAAGAAACCCAGTCTTAGAGAGTTTCCTAGGGAAATGAGAAATTAAGTGACTTGTCCAAGGTCAACCAATATGTGTTAGAAACAGACCTTGAACTCAGGTCTTCTTGACTTCAAGGCCCAGCCTCTATCCATTGTCCCACATAGGCTTTCATAACCATTCTCCATAACATCCTTTCATTTCTGTCCAGGACATATGCTTCCTACTGGATTCGCAAGGTCCACATATTTAAAAACTTATAAGATGGTGAGGAGAACACTGTGCCCTGGCCATTTATGCAAACTTAAAAATAAATACTAAGAATTTTGGCACGCAACTGGAAGTGGGTAAGAAGTAAAAGAAATCAATGAATTTCCAATGCATCTCAAGTAAACAATGTTCTGCCTGGAAATCCAGAATTTCACGATTTCTAAGGCTTCTCTAATGACTAGGCTGGTATTAAATACACAAGATGGTACCAGGTATGTAGCTGTACTCACAGCCTTCTAGACCTATTTTTGGTCCTAATATGAAGGAAGGTTATTAAAATATATCTTCCCAAACAGACGGTGCTGTCCCCAACTTACTTCTACATGTATACAGACTCTTAAACTTCTCATTGGGTGTGACAATCTAAAGCACTTTGTTTGTAAATGAGGACTTACAGTCACTTCCCCAGTCAAGGTTAGTTAGGGAATTTCGTCCTGAGACTGCTTTGCTTCTGTCTCCTGGAATAGAAAGAAATTAGTCAGTTCTCAATACTCAATTCCAATGTGTCAGGTGTCAAGAAAATGCAGTGCTGGGTTCTACTTGGGCCCTCCTTAAACTTTTCTGCTAAAAGGCTCTCTTGGTTCATTCTAATCCACCATCTGGAGGGGACCAAAAACAGGCCTGTTAGTTTATTTCTGAAAAAAAGCCAGAATAAGAGAATGCATCCTATCCCCAGCACTAGCCTATAGCGGCTGGTTGTTGTCCGTTCTCAGAGAGGACCAAAATGACATCACTGTGTTGGGGTCAAGATACAGTGTGTCCAACAGTGGCTCGTAAGACCAATCAGTATATGTAGGCACTTAATAAATGCTTGGTAATTGATTGATTAGACTCTTCTACTAAACTATTCTCTACAAAACAGAGCCCAGGGAACCAGGACCTTGACAGGTTTGTCCAAGCTCCTGTTATTGTCCTAGCTTTTCCCCAGGCTCTATTTTCCTCACTCATAGTGTCTGGGTCAACGAAATTGAATGGGAAGACAGAAGTAAATTACTACCCTGGTAGTCCAATAATTAATCTTTTCACAGGAAAATAGACAGGAGAGGATTTCCATTTAGGGGAAAGGGAAAGGAGGAAGATTCCAACCTCTTATTTCATTGAAAGGAACTCAAAAAACATCCTCTACCAATGCATATAGACATCTGTTCTGCAGATGTTTTTTAGACAATTATTTGGGGATATTGAGAGGTTAAGTCACTTGCCTGGGACCACACAGCCAATACAATATGTTTCAGAAATTGGACTTGAATCCAAGGGCCTTCTGAATCTATGTTTTGCTGTCTCTCCACTAATCCACCTCTGCCCTTGTAGCCTAAATTTTTGAGGGAATAAATAAGCAAACTAATAATGAGGCCAACTAGGTTGAAGAATAATGGGGACAATGGAAGGAGATGAGTAAGTTTATAATTTTTCTGGCAAAATTATCAAAGATTGTGTTGAAATGGAATCAGCATGGGCTGCCATAGCGTTGACTTGGAGTCAGGAAAACTAAGTTTAAATTCTATTCATGTATGCATTAACTGTTTGACCATGGACAAATCACCCCCAGAGTCCCAGTTCTCTTATCTTTAAAATAGATGTAAAATGTTTGTACAGCTTCATAGAGATGTTGTGAAGGAAGAGTTTATATGAATGTCAGTTATTATTATTGTTATTGTTGTTGTTGTTTGTTGTTATCAAGGTTTCTGTTGCACTAGAGGTACCTAGGAGATTGCCTAGTGATCAGTCCATTTATTTCTAGTCATACATTTCTTCTAAAACATCTTCTATCCTGCTTTTCTGAGGATATCTTTCTTTGGAAAAGCTGCTGCGTACTCACATTCGCCACGCGTGTCTCTGATACCCTTTGGGTCACCCACAGTTTTAATTCTATGAGATTTCATTCTTCGCAGTTACATAGAATCACCAATGGCATATTAATGTCAAAAAAATCTGTCTTACATCCTTTTAGAGAGGTGATGTCATTTAGTAAACACAGTCAGTCAATAAACATTTATTAAGCATCTACTTGCCATATACTATGGACAATAGGTGTAAAGATATATTTTTGGGCATGGCCACTGAGAGGATTCATTTTGCTTTATTATGCTAATCTATTGAAAGGATTTCCCCCCCCCCCCCCCGCCCCATTCTTTCTCTGTTAATTGGGGAATGAGGTTCAGGGGTAGGAAGATGTTAGCAATAGTGATGCCAAGAAAAAAAGGGCCACAGAAACATTTTTTAAAAGGCATAGACGAGAATAAAAGAAAACACTGACAAGCAGGGCAGTTTTGAAAGTTATGTGTGGAATTTATTATTTGCTTTTTAAAAAATTCATTTTGAACTTAAATACATAGACAAAAAAGAACATTTCCATGTACACAGCACAACATAAAAAGAGGATTTACTATAAAAGCATAACTTTACATTGCATGCTGTTTTTTTTAAAAAAAAACTATGTAACAAGTACTATACATTGTTTTCAAAGCTACTCTGCTTTCTACGTACGCTTCCTTGTAAATTTTCTTTTATTCTCTGCTGCACCCTTTTTATTTTTCCTTCCTTCCCTACCCTACCTTAGAGATAGCTACCATTAGATACAAATATGTGTGTATAAATATACGTATGCACATATGTGTACATATACATGTATTGTACATGTACATGTACATGTACATGTATATGTATATGCATACATATACATGTAGAGCTATACTATATATACCTATTTATTGGTTCTTTCTCTGGAAGCAGATAGCATCTTCCTTGATAGGTCATTTGTAATTAATTTGAGTATTTATTATGTGCTTTTTTAAAAAGCAAGTAGTGTGAAATGGTAATTCATGATTTTATATAGAGCCCTCTCTTTGTGTTTTTCTGTTTGTATGTATGGAAATGCTCCTTTGAATGTTTAAGTTCAGAATGAAAAAATAAAATTAAAAAAAAAAAGCTGAGTCTTTGTTTCAGGGAGAAACTGAGGTTATTAAAAGCACAATGAAATTTTCTAAATCTAACCAAACCTCATCACCTCCCATTCAATTCTGAGACTAGTTCATCATCCATCTGCAGTATTTCTCCAAGATACTGGTCCTTATGTATTCACTTTACAGATTGTCTGTTTGGCTCATAGACATTCTTTATCCACTTGATTCTTCCTTTGTTGATAATTAGACCAACTCTTTTAAGTGATTATGGATCTCATTCATGAGGCTATGTCAAGTTCTGGGTTTCAAAGTAATTAGCATGAAATCACTAGCATTTAATAGATGGCAATATTTAGAAGCAATTCTGTTAGAACTTTGTTCTGAACACACTTTGTAACAGTGGGAAATACCTCAAATAAGCATATGTCTCCTGTTCTCTGCTTCATTTGATATTTCTAATCAGAATGTTTTCAGACAAAGATATTGTTGTTGTAACATTTTACACAGATTTGTTCAGCTTGGACCCAGTGAGAAGAACTAGTATCAATAGGATATCCCCATGTGGAAACAGAATTTAGCTGTGTTTCAGGAAGAGTATACTAACAATCAGAGCTGCCTGAAATTGGAGGGGATGAAAGGGAAAGGGGGTAACAAATGAGAAAAGGAGGTCAAGGAGGACAGGAAGAGAGCCAGTGAGAACAGAATCACCTGAAAGAAGGATTAAAGTAATTGAAGGAACATAATACTGTGTTTACAGCAGAAGAGGTAAAAAATCTTGACTTTAGCAAAGTCCAAAATGAGACACACATGAAGGAAAATATAAACCTAACTCATAACTTTAAATGTGAGTGGATTAAATAATTCAATAAAATGAAGAAGAGTTTCGGATTAGATAAGAAAACAAAACCCTACAATCTTCTGCTTACAAGAAACACAGTTAAAAAACCAAATACATACACAAAATAATACAGAGGGGATGGGAAAAAATTTACCAGACATCAAGTGAATCCAAGAAAGCAGAAGTTGCAATCATGCTATCTGACACAGCAAAAACCAACATTTAAAAACTAAAAAGGATAAACAAGGAAATTATATTATGCTGAAAGTAACCATAGACAACAGACCAATATCAGTAATAAACTTATATAATCCAAATGTCTTAGCATCCAGATTCATAAAGGAAATATTACCTGAGCTTCAAGAAGACATAACACAATAGTGACACAGGAGACTTCAATAACCCTCTCTCAGTTTTGGAAAAGTCTAACAGAAAGGGAAAATATGGAACCAAAAATAGAATGAGCCAAGTCAAGGGGTAGGGAGTTTTCAATCACTGTAGTGTTTCAAGTAAACATTGGATATTATACAGGGGAATCATATTCATGTATGTGTATTGGAACAGATCTGAGAATCATAGAACTGGAAGGGGCTTTAGCAACCATCTAGTCCAACCCCCTCTCATTTTACATATGAGGAAACTGAGGCCCAGAGATGTTAAGTAATTTGCTCAAGGTATTAAGTAGCAAAATCAGAATTTCAATCGAGTTCCTCTGGCTCCAAATTGAAGACTCTTTCCACCATCCCATATTGCCTAATCAAATAACCTCTGAAATTGCACTCAACTATGAAATTCTGTGACACAATTTATGGTTGTCAATCTCTGAAAAATTCTATTATAGACACACACATTCTTTCACTGAAAGACTGCAAAATAATATTTAAAAGTTATCTAACAAAAAAAAGTTATCTAACAGAAAAGAGTGCTGATTCTTCTCCTTCTTACAATAACATATCTTTCTATATTGCATTATTATCTCATAATGAATTAATATTTAACTTTGTAAAATTTATTTATTCTGCTTAAATAGCCTTTAAGCCCCTCAAAAGCATCCTCTGCAAAGCCTAACAAAGTGCCTTGTAAATAATAAGTTATAACAAAAACAATCCCCTCAAAACCCAACCATGTCATGAGTTGAGAAGCCAAAAACAAACTTGGGAAATATAAGCAAGGTGATATATAGCAGTGTCATCATGTGCCCTGAAACCATTATAGTGGTTGTGAAGGCCCAGCAAAAATCCTGAAATTTTGGCCAATTAGGCTCTAGCAATACCACTGATTGGGTTAGTAACTTTAACTAATGTGATCAAACTTCCCATGAATCTAAGAAATAAATAGGGTGGAATAAGTTTCCAGGCTGGTCCAACACAAAATTATCATGATGATTACCTTGACATGGAGGGTACCTCTTCACATTCTGGTGTCAGAAGACAAGTGGTAAATCAGAACAAGTCAGTATAATCCTAGATAGGCCAGGGTAACTGCAGCAGAGATCTCTCATAAGAAAGTCCCAGGCTGGATGATGGAAGCAATGGGGAGCAACAGCAATACATTCATGTGCAGCAGTATTCATAGAAAGGCTCCCTAGGCCCAGGGGCTCTCAGGAGAGAAAAACTATTAATTAGTTCTAATTATTCTAATTAATTAATAATAATAATTATAATTAGAAGGCCCTGAATATCAAGTGCTCTGAATCTCAAAGATCCAGGGACACCTG